TTTCTCTCATCTCACTACCCAAAAATAAATCCGAGTGGCAACAACTTATTTTTTGAGGATTCTAACCTCGACGTTGTCATTAGATTTGCAGACACCAATGATAGCCCCTACCAATTGTGCCCTATTTTAGAGTACCAATGATAGCCCCTACCAATTTTTCGACAGTTAATACGGCCAACTACGATGTTTCTGAGTTTAAGCCCATCACTGAAGAAAATTAGCAAAGGGAAGGCCAAAAAGAATGACGGGCGGAAGAAGTATAACCCGGCAGGAAGTCTGGTATTGGCGAGGTTCAACGTCGACGTGTTGGAAGACACCATCATCAGTAACTCCTAGATATCCAAAATGTTTAAGGAGCGTATCATGGTGAAGTACAACACCTGGAGGCCTTATGGTACGGTCAAACGTGATAGGGAGATTCTTTAGAAACACTAGGGGCGTGTGCTCTTAGAAGCCCAAGTTTTTTTGGTCACCAATTAAATACAAATTACATGTACTAATTATGAAATAGTTTTGTAAATGGTTTTTAAAAGGTTAATCTTAATGGGACATCACCGGGACAACATAAAAGTGTACCGTTATGTCCCATTTTCCTGATTTCTATATTTTAATAATACTCCCTCCGTTTGGAAAAGATCTTTCACTCTATCTTTTTTTGTCTGGATATAATCTTCACATTCTACCTTTATATTTCAATTCTTCCAAAAATAACCCTTCCAATAATACCTATTTTCCTCGTTTTTCATCTCTCCTTGTCTGTCGTTCTACACTTCTATGCCATGTCCGTTTCTCCCTTTTCTCTCTTCTCCTCAATTTTCTCCTTCTTTTTCTTTTCTTCTTCTTCTTATTCTTCTTTCTCCTCGTCTCTCTCTTCCTCCTCTCAAGTTACTCCCCTTCATCATTGTTCTTCTTTATCTCTTCCTCTTATTTCTCTCCCATCTTTTTTCTAGATCTGAGCATGGCGCCGATAATGGTGTGTCTAGATCTACACTTCTTCCACTTTTTCTTCTTCTATTCTTTCTCCTCCTTTCTTTTAGATGTGCATGCACCACGGTTGCAGCGGTGGTGGGACTGGCCGGTGGTGGTGAGGTGGCGGTGATGGTGGGGTGCGTCCACTGTAAGTCTAGATCTGCACCCTTTATCTCTTTTTTCAACTTCTTTCTCATCATTCTTTCTTTTAGATCTGATGGTGGGGCTGTAACAGCGGTGTGGGACTGCCGCAACTATGGTGGAGGGGGCTGGTGAAATGACACCTTACGGTGAGATGACATGCTACGGTCAGATGACGCAAAACTCACCAAAATGTAAGGCAAATCTCACCATATATTTTCAACACTTTGACATTTTTTTTAAAAAAATAAAATCAAAGGAAGGAGTGCTGACTAGATTTTGACTGTTGACCACCAACTTTGACCGCCGGCCACCGCAACCTGCCGCCGCCGGAAGCCGCTGCTGACCGGCGGTTCACCGATGTTGCTATTTTATTTTTAGTTAATTTTTAAAATTTAAAAATGGTGAGTTTTGGTGTTAAAATTGGTGAGCTTTGCTTTATTTTCAGGTGAGCTTTGCATTGGCTATTGGTGAGCTTTGAAGTGTAATGTGGTGAGCTTGACATCATCTCAACTTAAGGTGTCATCTGACAAGAGTTGATCCCATATATATATATATATATATATATATATATATATATATATATATATACTTCTTTAATAATGTCAAAAAACAAAACCATTAATATAATTAAAAAATAATATTCAATCACAATTATTAATTAAAATTAAAAATGTTAACCTCAAAAAAAGAAATTGGAAAGAGAAAAATAGAAGAAGTGACCATAAGTTGCTACCTGATAGAAGACAAAAGTTCTCTCCTATCTCTGAGCGTCTCTGGAAGAACGAAAAGTAGTGTGACACTGGTTGAAATATGAAGCTTAACTACCTGTTTCTATGCTTGAATCTGAATCTTAAATACCTGGTTGCTTCACTTAAGGTGCGAAGATTGAAGCTGGGCAGTCTAAAACCATATTCATCTGTGCTAAGTCTGATCGAAGTCCCATATCCGTTAATCTCATTGCCGGTTCCTTGGAGAAGGGAATCGATTTTGGCAATGGGGAGGGATAGTGAACCGGAAGGATGGAAGGTTATTGATGATTAGGTTATTCTCTCTGTTAGCTCCTTGAATCAGATGTAGGCTGATTGAATAGTGAAGTCTCTGTGCCTTGAATCTTATTGATAGTCCTCCCTCTTCTTTTTGTTTAGTAATATTCTCCTATTTGATCCAGTAGTATTTGTCTTTGCCATTGGACTGACCCCAGATATAGTTAACCATTTTAGAGTTGAGGCTCTTTGTAATAGTTAGAGGCAGTTTAGATGCAGTGATAGTTTGGATGTGGATAGAGCTCAAAATATGTTTAATCAACAAGATTCTTCCACTAGGGGCCAAAAGTTTTTTGCACCATCCATTCAGTTTGCTGTCAAACTGGGAAATGAAGTCCTGAAGGTGGGCAGCTCTTTGAGTGCCTTTAGTAATAGGGACCCCCAAGGCCCCAACTTCATATTTAGAGTTCTTGTCATCTGCCTTACCTTTCTAGAACAAAGTTTAGGGGGAGGTATGAGGGCACTTTTGTCATAATTTAATATCTGGCCAGATATTGTTTCAGAGTAGCTGAGGAACTGCTTGAATCTTATGAGATAAGAGATATTCCCATTAAGGAAGATAAAGTAATATTTTATATAGTGGAGTTATTTATTTATTGTTCTTTAATTGTGTATGTATATGTGTAGTGAACGGGGATGGAGTGGAATGTTCTTCCCAACATAATAAATAATTAAGCAGAAGTAACAAACAACGAGTTTTCACATGGCTCAATCACCCCAAACAAATCTTATTTATTCACTTATCAGCTGTTTTAATAAAGAGCTAGAAGTCAGTTACAACACCACCTATTCTACAGTAATATAGCCTTCAGAATAAAGACTATTTGTTTAGATGCTTTTGCTATGGATAAAAAATAGAATAGTTGCTCAATAAACTCTCAATATGCCTAGGCCTCTCATGATCAATGAGAGATCACACATGCTTCCTTCCACAAATCAATGTTTAATCAAATTAAGACTTTGAACAGTAGAAGATCTTTGTGCATTAAACCTCTTCCGAACCTGTGTTTTTTAATTTGTATTGGCATCTCACATGTGCATAATTACTCTGCAAAGAACTTTAGTTTGCTTTGTCAAACAAGCGAATTACAATAGCCCCCAATAATAGAGTTTTTCGGGTTAACCCCCGCTAGATGATGTGAGAATTAAACCAAGCAATCTACCACCATTGACAGATTGCATTAGATCCAAGCTATTCTATGTGAGATGGTGTTAAATCTATTGGATTTCATAAAGGTGGCATCTGATTTGGAGATTTAGATGATGTTCTGAAGGCTCCCTTCTTTGTTGTTTATATCCAAACTAGTTGCTTTGTTGATTCTCAGTTTGAACAAACTCCAATTCTGTTGTGTTCCTGTTCATTTGGTTGTGTGCTGATTAAGAAACTCATTATATATCTACATTGCTCTTTTCATCCGCCAGTCATAGTAGAGAACTTTGACTATATTTTTGCCTAACTACGCATTAGTAAGATATTATCTTCTCCGAGTCAAACTTTCACGGATTTGTTTTTGGGCACCTTTCAAAATGTCTCATACTAACGAGTTGGGTTGGATACTTTTCTTTTCGTTCTCTCTCTACGGTGCCGTCGATGTGGGATTTGTTTGTATCCCAACAATTTGATGAGATTTGTATTGCACTATGATTTTTTCCAAGTTTCAAATAGTGTACTTGTACCATAGGCGGTTCAAGGGTGTGTAAGGAAAACCATTAACATTTTCATTTTTTAAATTTTTGTGTTTGGTCAAACCAGAAGCATGAATTTGGGACGCAAGGATTATTGTTATTAATGTCACTTCACAACATTACCACATATATTTACTACTAAATCGGTCAATTTTGTTGGGGGCCTTCCAAACGAATGTAATCATACATCACTCCAGAAAATGGACTTTCGCCTCTAGATTGCTCCATGTATATTGTGTTTTCTCCGTTCACGAGCTCATCTCCTCGGAAATTATAGTTGTGCTCTGAATATTGTCCGTGAATTCCATGCCTTGCAATTGCGTTATCTCTCCATAGTCCATTGATTATGAAGTTGGGACGTCTCTGTTGATTGTTTATCCAGACCTGAAACCATGTCAGTAATTAGATTATGTAATTAATCAATACATTTGATATTCTTAACTCATTTCCTAAAAATAAAAATTTTAAGAAAGTTAACTAATTTCTTACAGTGGATATATTTTTTTTAACAAAAAATTACTCTGGAAAATGTTAGGGGTGTCTTTGATATGTAAGTGGTCATACCAAAATATTGGCGTAAGAGGAAGAAGCTAACGCAATCCGCAGAGTATACATTTCTCCTCGGCTTACATTATCTAGCCTAAATATAATCTTCCATGTGGTTGATTCATATGAATGGTTTCTTCCAACTCTGCAATTCTAACTTTATTATTAGCTACAACATTAGAACCCAAATATAGTCTAAAATTAACATGGCAAAATAATTCTTTTTTTTTCGTTTTCAAACAAAGTGAGAGTTAGATATAGAAGTTCAGTTCACCTATTCACATGTGCAAAGAACCAATCTTTCTGATAATCACTTTGACCCACCGTGTATACCAAATCATGCTCGGGATAATAATATGTATATCGATCCCAAAGTCCATATTGCCTAAACCTGTGTTTGCCATTAGTTGATACAACCACTAGTTAAAAATGACATTTGGATGAAATTTGTAGTTATCTGTAAACTTTGTGAAACAACTGATTTTATTTAAAATGTCAACTTTGTAAGATTCAACAAACTTTTGATCTTTATGGTTGAGGAATAATCTATTGACGAGTGCAGGGTCAGGATCCGGGATATAAAACTCTGAAGCCTTGCGGTCAGGGATACCAATTTCCCATAGGGTAGGCCCATTTCTTGGTGGTTCAAAAACAAGATCATTAACATCAATTTTATCTCCTGCATCAATTAAATAGTATAGTATGAAAATATTACTCTCTCCATCTGCAATTTATTTCCCCATTTGACCTTTCTTGGTCAAAGTTCCTAAACTTTGACCTCCATTATGATATAAATGTAATATTAATAGATTTCTTTTGAAACGTAGTTTTGAAATATTAAATTTTTTATAAAATATATTCATGTTACATTGGAGACGTGAAGGATAGAGGGTGTATCTTGCTTTAAAATCTAACTGAAACAAGAATTTATTTAAGATTTGAGAAATATATAACTGTATGTAATAATAATCATCATCAATTGATATTTAAAATCATTAAAGTTGAAGTGCAAACTAAATTAAGAGCGAGGTGTAGTCTTTATGTTCACTTATACACTAAACACTCCTCGGAAGACCAAATAAAACAATATTTATTTATCTGAAAACCTGGTTTGATAACAATTCTTTTGTTGTACTTATAGTTTCCCAGGATTCCGGGGACCCAAGCATATAAGTTGTAGACTCCAGGTCTAACCGCATCGATCGTGAAATGTCCCTGGTTGTTGCTCTCAGTCCAAAACTGATATCCCTGGAAGATCAATGGTTATAGCGATAAGAACATCTTTAAAGGTAGTTGCCTAAGAGTTTCTTAACATTATTTTAATAAAGAAATGGTTATGTGGCTTATGTCATGGAAGCACAATTGCTTCAATTGTTTGAGGGTGGCTTCCCTAAGCAACTGTTGCTTAGCATTTTAATAATAAACAATAGCCAAAAACGAAATCTAAGAAACCAGCACTAAAGATGCCCTAATATTGTTGTAAAATTATTGAAATGACATGTGTGAATGATTCACTCTTATAATCAACACAGGTGTAAAGTTTGCATCCTTGTAATCAATATGACTAGATGTCTTTCTCCAAAATTGCAAATTAATATGTTGACTCGTCTATTTGATCATATCTATAATAAGTCATAACAGTATAAATAGATATTGAATAATTTTATATGAAAAAAACCAAAAAAACCAAACCTTGACTTCTCGTTGCCATGATCCAGCATCCCCTGGTGGAGCCAACCCAATGTGAGCACATTCTGCGTCTATAAACCCTGTGCCTAGGAACCTAATAAATAAGAAAATCATGTATATATTATATAAAAGACATTTAATATGTAAATAATCAACATACATAAAAATAAAATGAAGCAAAAGATAAAAAGCCTAATTAAGAGAGATCATGCACCTATCACGAACTAGTAATCGTCCTGTAAGTGTACCCCGAAAGTCTCTATTAGGGTAGCTATGTGACTTTGGAAAATCATAGGGCCATTTTCTGTTTTCAACATTGGCCTGCCAAAATAATAATACCTGTTAGGATTGAACAATACTCACTATGAAACTGGAAGAACAAAATTTTAAAAAAAAAATTCTAAAAGAGATTAGAGCTAGAGATAAACGAAAAGAGTACAGTTTCTGGTAACACGGCGTGGGTAACCTCTGCAATGATATGGTTTAATATTGATGATTTAGAGTATACATCGAATATTCATGACTCTACAACCAAACAGGTCTCCTCTTGGAGACTGATTCAGTAATCCAAAATGAACATTCTCAAAAACAATGTCTTTGCATCATCAACAACCTCACCGTACTCCAACACCTGTAGTAACAACTACAAAAAGCCAACCAATGTTTAACACAACCCTAGTTTTCCAACATCAACATATTTTATCAACATGTCGATTCTTTGAACCTTTTATCTTCTTCAAGCACATATCCCCTTCTTTCATTGCCTTGCGATTGAAATGATATTGTTTCCTTATGTGTCATGTCTTCGAATTATACATTGGGTTCTTCACTCTCACTGCATGTGCTATGTCAGGTCTAGTATAGATCATATTATATGTCAAACACCCAATTATTGAAGAATATGGAACACATGCCATATGCTCATGCTCCTCAGCTATCTTGGTAGTCTGACAATTTTATGTGGTTTGCGAATGGAGTAATCCCGAGTTTAACATCATTAACCTTAAATTTGGTCAACACCTTCTCAATGTACTACTCCTTGGATACACACACACACACACACACATACATACATATACATATACATACACACACACACACACAGATATATATATATATATATATATATATATATATATATATATATATATATATATATATATATATATATATATATATATATATATATATATATATATATATATATATATATATATATATATATATATATATATATATATATAAGATCATGATCCCAAGAATCTACTTTGCTACACCCAAAATTTTCATCTCAAACACTAGACATGCTTTTCTTCAGAAAATTACTCACGGGTGATGCGAGTTTTGTTGAAATAACCCTCAGGTCCCTCTATTTTTAAAAAGAAAGCAGAGGTCCTTACATTTTGTTGTAATGACTGGAAGGGGACATTTCATCCAATATTTCATCTATAAACGTTAATAAATGTATATTTTTCCTATTCTTTTCTAAATGTTTTAAGGTAATAAATCTTAGGTCGCTCCTTTTTTTATTTCTTTGTTTTTCTTTCATTTTGTTACTATTTTTTTAAAGTGTTATTTTAGAATTTCTTCTATAAAATCGTATAAAAATTCAAAATTGTTTGTATTATATTAAAACAAATGAAATAAAAAAATTTTAAAAAAAGAAAAAACAAGGTAATGGCAAAATAGGAAAAAAAAGTATTGGAAAAATAGGAAACAAATTCATTTATTAACACTTACGGATGATGTATTGGATGAAATGTCCCCTCTCAGTCATTACAACAAAATATAAGGACCTTGGTTTTCTTTTTGAAAATAGAAGGACCTGAAAGTTATTTCCACAAAACTCGCGTCACCCGCGAGTAATTTTCTGTGCTTTTCTTCAAAGTGTTTATCTCCCTCATACTAGATCTTGCAATAAACATATCATCCACATACAAGAGTTGAAACACATATAAATCAATGTATTTCTTGAAATTACAACATCGATATTTTTCACTTCTATGAAAATCACTCTTGCTTATGGATGAAAGACATAAGACTCTCAGTGCTTGCTTCAAGCCATACAAACTCCTGTTTTAACTTGTACACCATGTGTTCCTTGTCCAGAACTACAAATCTCTCTAGTGGTTGCATATAGATATCATTGTATAGATCTCCATGTAAAAATGCTATTTTACATCTGTTCGCTCAAGATGCAAAATCTCCAATGCAAAATACTCAACAAAATTTGGATAGTAGTTAACTTATTCTTTGTTCTTGACTCATAGCATACAAATTGCATAAAAGATTGTACCCTCATATCACATACTCCCTCCAGTCCTCCACCACAGAATTATCTTCTTGTTTGCTTTTTCACGGTCTCCAATGCATTATTTTGACCTCTTTAATATATCTATTTTTTTCAAATTTTATATTATAAAAATATTAGAATTTTTAACTTTATTTTAAAATGAATCTATTACTATTAAATTTATATCATAATTCAATATATTTTTCCATATTTCATGGTCAAAGTTAGAATACTTTCACTAAGAAAAAGCAAGTAGGAAGATAATTCTAGGATGGAGGGAATAATAGGTTTTAGTATGTATGTAGTCTTTATGAAATAAGAAATAACTACCATATTTTCTGCATCTCTCCAAAGGGTTGATGGATTGTTGGTTGAATCTGAATTTAGATATATATAAACAGGACCCAAAACTTTCTTCCAACTCTCCCCATTTCGCAAGCTTAGTGTAAAATCTTCACCTATATAATGGTCGCTAACGAATACCTGACACAGGGAAATATCACAAAGTTTGCATATTTAAAATAGGAAACTGTTATAATTTTGATTGGCAAAGTTTGCATAATTAAAACAGGGAACTATTGCATGTAAATTTAACTTAAGTACAAAACCTCTAAATCACATAGTTTGGCAATTTTAGGATCAAATGTAAATCTACTTGCGACTTGGTACACACACACACACTGATATATATATATATATATATATATATATATATATATATATATATATATATATATATATATATATATATATATATATATATATATATATATATATAGATATATTTGTGTGTGTGCGCAACATAATTTTTAAAGTTCACATAATAAGTATGAAAATTATATATTTTAAAAAATTAAATTATATAAATACATTTACTAAAACTTGATACAGAGTACAATATAGGGTCTCATTTGATAACGAAGAGTTATTTTTTTAAAGAATAAAAGAATACTATATTTCATAAAAACACATTTGTTATTACGAATGTAATATAAGTTATTTTGCTCTTATAAGCTTGTTCGTTTGTATGCGGGCATCTTTGAGCTAACAGCAGAACGATAAAACTCAAAGAGGTTTTGTGAGGTGTGAACAACAAATTATTCTAAAGAAGCGACATGATGAACTTCAATGCCCACATGTTTCTTACTACTGTGGAAAACTAGGATTGTTGCAACACAAGTGGTGGACTCATTATCAAAACGGAGGCGTGATGTAGAAGCATGATATAATTTTAGAATCACTTAGATGCATTGCTTTTATTCGTCTTTGGTAGAAGAGAACAAGACTTGATATTTGTTTTTGGGGGACCAAAAGATTATATTAGGGCATAAAAATGAAGAAACGTGATTTAGAGCATCTATTGTCTTATTCATCGGGCCAACATGAGTCAACACACACATAAAGACACACATAAAGCTTCAAAGTGCCCTTCTAGATCCATGAGTTGTGGTGCTTTTGATGTAGCATAGGATGCAGTCTTGGGAGTGAAAATCTTTGACTATAGGTTTATGGATGGCCCTAGTGATATGGTTGAGTGTTTAAGATTTCAAGACGAGTGACGGTCAAATATTGTTAACCACCAACATGCTATTGAGGTGTGATACATTGTCAAATTGGACATCGACACCATCCAGGGTGGGGCTTACAGCCGTCGTTGTCATGATTGATTGAAAATTGAATGTGTCAGCCTAGTCAACAAGATTGCATGTGAATTTGGTCTAATGGATGAGAGAACTAATGTTTATTCGACATACCTTAATACTGAAGAAGAAATTTTTAGGCCAAAATATTTCATGTTGAAATCTCATTACATGGACTTGGCATTCTCAATTTTAATAGTAAAGAATAGCCAGTTATGATGATGCCATCTTCATATACTAGGAGAATTCCAATACCTGAAGAGTGAGAGGACTAGTACCATCAGTGTAAGTAGTGAACCAAATTCCTAAAAGAAAACAGGATAATTGATTATACCATGCTCGGGGAGCTTGCTTGAGATCCTAGAGAGACTACCACAATTTGCACACATGTTGGCCATGAGTCATGTAAGAAGGCAATGGAGACATCAAATTATTGTGGTGACCACTGATGATGTCAGGAGCAAGAGGGAGAAAAATATGAATGACATGCCACTTCACAACGAGGTTATAGTTATCTAAGTAGTCCATTGTAATGCCCTAAAAACCGACCTTAGAGCTAACCACT